GAAGGCACCTGGGAGGAGTCTTCTCCTAGGAAGCCCCCAGCATTCTATTAGTCACACAGAAGAGATGGAGTCCTTGTGAGGGAGAGGTCATCTGGCTGTAGCTACTCACAGAACACGGGCGCCTACCACAGAAGCCAAGTTTCCACTATCAGCAAAACCCAATGCTTCAAATGGCCGAAAAGAAGAATCTACAGTTTAGCAGAGTATCTCCATGTTGGGGTAAGGCTGTGCAATTAAAAAAGTGCAGGATCATGCTGGGCGCTGGTGGCTCACGCCTGTAATCCTAGCTACTCAGGAGGCTGAGATCTGAGGATCAAGGTTCAAAGCCAGCCCGGGCAGGAGAGACCGTGAGACTCCTATCTCCAATAAACCACCAGAAAATGGGAAGTGGTGCTGTGGCTCAAGTGGTAGAACGCTCGCCTTGAGCTGAAGAGCTGAGAGACAGCGCCCAAGCCCAGAGTTCAAGATCCACGACCTACCAAAAAAAAAAAAAAAAAAAGATAAAACCAAATACAAGTCAGGCACTTAGCTGGACACTGCAAAAGACGTTTTTAAGCAAGCAGGACCACTCGAATATGGACTGTGTCAACCTAATTAGAAAAGAACAATCAGAAATCAGCCGGGGGCAGTGGCTCACACCTGTAATCCTAGCTACTCTGGGAACTGAGATCTGAGGATTGCGGTTCAAAGTGAGTCAGGGCAGGAAAATCTGTGAGACTATTTCCATGAACCACCAGAAAAAGGAAGTGGCACTTTGGCTCAAGTGGTAGAGTGCTGGCCTTGGGCTGAAGAGCTGAGGGACAGCGCCCCGGCAGAATTCAAGCCCCATGACTGGAAAGAAAAAGAAAGAAAAAAGAAAGAAAGAAAGGAAGAAAGAAAGAAAAGAAATCTTGCCAACAGTGAGGTTTATTTAGCTTCTTTTTATCTGTGTGTGTGTGTGTGAATACTAGGGCTTGAACTCAGTCTGAACTGTTTTGCTCAAGGCTGGTGCTCTACCTCTTGAGCCATGCCTCTACTTCCTCCTTGAGAACAATGTTGCAATATGAGTAGCAGGGCACCTGATGAGAATTTGGCACCCTAGTAAACTATGTGTGCACTAAAAGATACTAGGGCATCAGGTTTTTGTTAGGTTTTCCTCTCCTTTTTCTTTTGAGCTGGTTCAGGGGCTTGAACTCAGGGCCTCATGATCTTCCTCTTACAACTTCCCTGTTCATTGCTGGTGGTCTATGATTGAGCCACAGCTCTAGCACATGTGCATGCGCATGACCAGTCATGGGACCTAAACTTAGGGCCTGAGTGCTATCCCTGAGCTTTTTTGCTCAAGGCTAACTATCACTTGAGCTATAGCTCTACTTCTGGCTATTTTGGGTGGTTAATTGGAGATAAGACTCTCACATACTTATTTGTTTGGGCTGGCTTTTTTTTTTTTTTTGGTTGGTCATGGGGCTTGAACTCTGGGCCTGGGCGCTGTTCCTCAGCAATTCAGCTCAAGGCTAGTGCACTGCCACTTGAGCCACCATACCTCTTTTGGCCTTTTCTGTTTATGTGGTGCTGAGGAATGGAACCCAGGGCCTCATGCATGCAAGGCAAGTACTCTACCACTGAGCCACTTTCCCAGCCCCCTACTGATGTTTTGTGAGTAGCTGGAATTCTAGGTGGTTTTACCATCACACCCCAGCTTGTTTATGAGCAGGCTGGCTTTGAATCTCAGTCCTCAGGATCTGTACTTTCTAAGTGGCTGGGATTACAGGCATGTGCCACCACACTGAGTGACAGAAGTCTTTTTATGTATAAGGCTGAGGTACCTTCTGTTCAAGTTTGTAATTCTAACAGAGTAGATTGTGACAGTGGAAGGTGATCGTGAGAAAATTTCCTTTATAATCTAATGGCTTTTCTCTTTGGTTAGTGTTGACACAGGCAAACTCACTTTGGTTTTGTCACTTTTAAACTCCTTTTACTGCTGGATACTAGGCTATATTGCTGCGTTATTGCTGTTTTTCCTCTGTCTGAATTTCTAGCATTTTGGTGGTGGTAGAGAATGTGTCTGTTTTTGGGAAGTAGCCTGTTGAAAAGTTAGTGAGTGCCGGGGCCAGAAAGCGAATGTGGCAAGGCCTCGGGTGCCAGGTAAACCCTGGAGGATTCGAGTTTATGTTGACAGCGTTCTAAGCTGGGAGATCTCACTTGAGATCTGAGGATGGAGGGTCAGAGCCAGTCAGAAAGCTGGGTGTGGAGCTGTGGCTTAAGTGGTAGAGCACCAGCCTCTAGCAAAAAAGCCAAGCTGGAGCCTGACACCAAGACTGAGCCCCGCAGGGCTGGATGCGGGTGATGGGGCGCTTCCTTTGCTCTGCGGCCTTCCTTTCCTCACCTAATACACGGGCCTGAAACCCCCACTGCCCACTGCTGTCCTGGGTTAGAAAGGATCCGACATCACCTGATCCACCTGCGCGGGGGTGTGGGTGCTGTGGCCATTACTGCCGAGACTCCCAGCCCAGGGTCCGAGAGGAGTGGACTCGGAAGGCACAGCCTGGGCCTCCGCCTCCGGTGCTGGAGACGCGGAAGCATCAGCTGAGAAGCCGCATTCACGCAGGCGCACTGCCCTGTGGGGGCGTGGTCGCAGAGCGCGGACCGAGCGGGCGGGGCCTAGTCGCCTGTGACCAATTGTGGAGCAGACGTCTTGTCAAACTTGGCGCGGGAAGGAAAGGGCCCTTCCAAGTGGGTCAGTCTGGAACCTGATGCCCGCACTCGGCCTGCGGTGTGGCGGGGACCCCCTCCCCCCGTCCTGCGGTGTGGCGGGGACCCCCACTCCCCGTATCCTCACGGGCTTCCTGGTGGAAGCCAGACCAGCTGGCTTAGAACGGGGAAAGGGAGGAGAAACGAACTCCAAGGCTGCGGGCAGGGTGGGGAGGGAGGGCGACAAAAGCGCGTCCCGCCTCTTCCGCTGTCCAAGTTTTCTTTCACGGATATTCAGAGAATAATCCAGAACGAGAGCCCCATTTCTGCCTACCTTAAACGTACAGTTACTGTGTATCTTAAGCTAAATAAAGCACACGGTGCCTAAGAGAGCAACCAAGATCAGCACTTTGGTTTTTTTTTTTTTTTAGCAGTCCTGGGGCTTGAACTCAGGGCCTTGGCGCTGTCCCTCAGCATTTCAGCTCAAGGCAAGTGTTCTACCACTTGAACCAATGCACCACTTCCGGGTTCTGGTGGTTCATTGGAGATAAGAGTCTCACCGACTTTCTTGCCTGGGCTTGCTTCGAACCATGATTCTAAGATCTCAGACTCCTGAGTAGTTAAGATTACAGGCCTGAGCCACTGGTGTCCAGCTGTACTTTGGGTATTGATTCCGGGAACTGAGTGTGAGTTAGGTATTAGATGATACCAAAAAACATATTAATAGTTTTGTTGGATATAATAGCTTCAGCCTTAATGTTAACAGTAAAAAAAATCATTTCTTTGGAGACAGATGTTGGAATAGGAGAAATGGATAATTATCTGCCAGTTGCTTTAAACTGGTGGTGCTAGTCCAAGATTTTAGTTTTTGCTTCATGTAAGAGAAGTGTTTTTCACTGCTGGCTATGGTGTGAGGACCTTGAACAGCTGTTAGTACTCCAAGGAATGGCAGAAGTAAGGCCAGGTGCCAGTGGCTCATGCCTGTAACCCTAGCTGCTTGGGAGGCTGAGATCTGAAGATGGTGGTTTGAAGAAGCCAATCAGGGAAAGAAAACTTATTTCCATTAGCCAGCAAAAAGCCTAGAAGTGAATGTGTGGCTCAAGTAGTAGGGTGCAAACCTTCAGCCAAAAAGATAAGGAACAGTTCCCAGGCCCTGAGTTCAAGCCCCAGTACTGGCACCAAAAAAAAAAAAAAAGATGGCAGAAGTAGACTTGGGGGATTGGTGCTTCCCTACCCCATCCTCTTTAACTTGTTCTCTGCAAGAGGTTTTGGAAAGGGTCTTTCTTGGGTCTCTCTGTGTGAGCCTAGGGGTTGTGAGCTGCAGTTCCCAGCTTAATAATTTGTTTCTTTCTCTTGACTTATTTCTGGAATTTTGCCCTTTGCAGGGCAAAGGTCTGGCAATACAGAAAGCCACCAAGAAAGGAAATGAAAACTGTCAGAGTTCCTGCCCCGGCCCCTTCCTTGCCTGTTTTCAAACTCCCCTTCCTGAGATTTGTTCAGGGAGTCGTGAATGAATTCCTAGTGCTCTCACCATTCTCTGAAGGTTCTGGGATTTCTGGCCAGATTCCAACTTTGAGACCAAGTGAGATTTTAAAGACGGGGGATTGGAAGGGCTTTCTCCCCCTGGCTTTGAGGGCCAGAAGGTTCACAGAGGGTCGCACAAGTTACAAGGTCCTGTCCTCAGGGAAGGGCCTCCTCCCGCCTTCATACCCCGGGTAGGTCGGATCCAAGTCCTGTCTTACCCTGGGGACATCGAGATCAGATCACACGTCCCAGTCCTGGTGACTGCAGTTGGGGGGCTCAGCAGCCCTGAGACCGCTGGTCTCGGATGGCGCCCCGGTCCCCCCACTCCAGGCACAGGAATGGCAGCCAGGCCTCTCCCGCAGCCAGCTAGGTACATTTCTCAGGCAACTTACAACAAGTTCAATTGCAAAACTGTCTGCCGGCCTGCGCGCGGACATGTCCAGAGACGTTTTCGGGGGGGTGGAGCTGCGGGGTGGGGGCATCGCTTCCCGCTCTCGCGCGGGCTCCAATCGCCGCGCCTCACGCAGTCGCACACAGTTCCGGATCGGCAAGCGGCTGCGCGCTCCGGGCCGCGGAGACGCCGGGAGGCGGTGTCTGGGCCGAGGGTGGCGGGGTCCTCCCGGGGCGTTGCGGATGCTCCCGCGCGGCGCGGTGCTGCGCTTGAATCTCCCGCGCTCTGCGCGAAGGGGGCGTGGCCGAGCCCCACCAATAGGGAGCGCGGGAGCGGGCCCCGCCCCTCTGGCGCGCGCGCGCGGTTTGACGGCGATTTAAAGGACGCGGGTCCGGGACGCCGCTTGTGCGCCGGGTCTCAGCTGCTGCTCCAGTCGCTCCCTCAGCTGCCGCCGCCACCGCCACCACTACCGCCGCCGCCGCCGCCACCACTACCGCCGCCGCCATGCTTTCCGTCCGCGTCCCGCTCGCCACCATCGCAGACCAGCAGCAGCTACAGCTGTCGCCGCTGAAGGGACTCAGCTTGACGGACAAGGAGAACACGGTGAGTGCCCGGGGAGCTGGGGGCCGGGGCGAGCCGGCCGGGCGGGGAGGAGGGGGCTCCCGCCGCCCCTCACACGCGTCTCCCCGCAGCCCCCGTCCCTCACCGGGACCCGCGTCCTGGCCAGCAAGACCGCGAGGAGGATCTTCCAGGAGCCCGCCGAGCCGGTGAGTG